CCACTCCAGGGATCTTTATCACTTCTACTCTGGCTACTGCGTTGTACCCTGCTATTCTTTTACTCCGTGATAGGTTCATCACCTGAGTTAGAAGACCTAACGCAGCTTACCAGCACCGTAAACCGGGTTCTTGTCTTATAATCTCGAGCTTCCTATTATCTGATTGGGCCCGGCATTTGGGGATCACTGCACTGTGTAAGAAGACAAGTGCGCTATGGGACCTACCTCAGGTAGACTAAAGCCTGCCAATTTACGGAGTACTTACGCCCAGACGCTATCACCCATCACCGGAAAGAGCCCAAGGAGCCCCCCACTACACTACACTACTACACCGGGAGAACCACCACAAGCATCCATAAACCCCATTCATCCACTCCACCACCGTCCGACCTGGTTACCACATATAGTTATCCTATCTTTGACCTCTCTTTTCGCCAAAGTTCTACTTGGCCCTAACAAGCTACTTCACCTCAATCTCTTGTCGGCCTCGGTACTTTGGTGACTTAACTCCTTCAGTATCTCCGGCTTCCGTGCTGCGCTGCGCTGCCCTTCCTCGGCCCTTTCTTGTTCCTCACCAAATCACTTTAACTACTACAAACTTGGACACTTTTGGAAAATCATCATTTGCTATTACAATCGAACCAACTGAACCCCTCTTTCTTCCCCGCGGCCAGACGTAGAGGATCCTTCCATCTGTCTGTCTGTCTGTCTGTCTCTTGGCTGTAAAAAGAACCCAAGAGAGATAAACCATACAATATCTATTATAAGAGACAGCGGGTCAAACTCAGACAGGACATCCTAAGCTCACTGTTCACCTCGCAGATGGGCAAGACAAAGCACTGAGCACAAGTTCATCATCTATCTAGACCTGGCCCGCAGTTGGGGAGCGAGTCCCTGTCGCCGGCCATACTTCAACCCACAAGGGGACCAACTACAGAACAGAACAGACCAGGCCAGGCCAGACCAGACAAGTTCTCGCTCCGACGGCCCAGTTGAATTGGCAAACCGCCGACTCTCGAGTTACACAAGCATGTTTCAGTTGCTCCATTACCTGCCCCCAGAAGCTTCCCCATAAGTCAACTGATAGACGGCTCCTAGGCTCTGGGCCGCTGTCTTGTTCTACTCTGCGCTCTGCCTTCTCTTCTGGCTTTCTCTCACGCAATCCTCGGCCGAACTACATCACTTCTTCTTCCCCTTGAGTCAATCCCGTTGTATGCAACCTCCCGTTTTCTACTCTCGATATTCCAAGTCATATTTCTGCAGTCATTTATATCTCCCGTCCCAATCTGTAATTCTGCTTCGTTCCGTTCCATTAGCCATTTTCTTTTTCCCGATCGAATCGCCTCTAACTTCTAGCCAACAGCCTCTTAGACCACTTCAGTCGGCATTCCATTGTTCGTTCCTCTGCAAAATACAACTAGTGCCGTTCGATAATATGGCTTAAGATTCAAGCTTGAACCACAGACCTTCACACTCATCAACGTCATGTAAAATTGCCACTCAAACTAGAGAGAGATTTGTGCGGATCAAGAATTACTTGGAACCTGTGTTGTGTCTCCTCCCCTCATCATGGATCAAGAAACTGGATCGTCGTCTACATCTGCGAACCAAAAGGTCCCTGCAAACTCCAACCAGCAAGATGAATCAAGAGAAGAGACAGATCGCAAGAGGAATAACATTCGCAAAAGGACAAAGACCGGATGTTTAAGTGAGTCGATCCATCTCCCCCTTGCGAGTGTGACTCGAGCACAACGATACTAATGCAAGCTTGACAACAGCTTGTCGCAAGCGTCGAATAAAATGCGACGAAGGAAGGCCGATATGCAACAACTGTATCAAATCTAAGCGCCATTGCGAGGGCTACAACCAACGTGTTGTATTCAAGGACCCTATGGGTGCGATACAAGGAGGCCCTTTTGGACCTGCTTATTACCCTCCTGGATCTACGCACCTTGCCCCTCACTTACAAGCGAAGACCTCTCAGGGCCCATTACCTATGATTGCTCCTAAGCCACCTGCTTTTGGCTATCATGGACATCAACCGGCACCCTACGGGCATTATGCTCATGCACAAGGAGCTATGCCTCCTAACCCCTACGATTTCAACGCTCCATCAATGCCTCATCCATATCACCAACCGAACGGTATGATGCCTCCCGAGCCACCGATGGGACATCCTAGGCCGCCCCCTGACGCTCGACAACACTATGAGGAACCTCCTTACAATGGACAGGATGGTCTCCCCTATGCGGGTAGTAACCAGCTGAAACCTGTTGCCATCAGGAGAGAAAGGATGGAGGAGCTGAATCACAGAATACCTGAGCCTGACTTCGACTATGACGACTATGAAATGCCGGAGGATGATGCTTCGATGGGTGAATCAGACGATGAGGTTCAAGACCCTCGCCAAGTTCTTGGACCTGTCATGAAGCAGTTCAATGGAACGTGGGACACAAACGGCACACGAGTCCGAACCTTTTCGACATTTGCTCAATGCAATATTCTCTCTGACTATACAGCTACAGCTCGCATAACGGAACTCAAGGATCCTGCAATGTTGCAAATATTCATGCACTTTATTCAAGTTACTGGCCCAAGCATGTCATTGTATGAAAGGCATCCTTTTGATCATACTGGCGAGAACTCGTTCGACCCTACCCCGAAAGGAGCTAATAATCTTTGGAGTTGTAAGTCATGTACCCCTCATGACAGCATTGAAATCTGTTATTAACTAATACCAAGACACTTTCCCCGTCATATCTTTGAACCACCCCGCGTTGCTTCACTCTATGCTTGCCTTGGGTGCCTTGCAAATAGCCAAGCTGCAAAACATACCAGCAACAGCTGCAATGAAACACTATCACTTGGCAATCCGCCGAATAGCTCGAAACGTCAACACACCCCTCAGACGAACACAACCTGCAACAGTAGCCGCGACACTGCTGTTGTCGTATTTTGAGGTGTGGTCTTCGGATCATACTAAATGGTGCAATCATCTTCTTGGAGCCAGAATCTTGTTTAGCGAAATACCCCTTAGACAAATGTCAAGGAAATATCTGCCAGTCAAACGTTACAAGCAGGCAGAAAAAGACGCCCAGAATCAGAACCAAATGGACAGCTTCTTCCCGGGTCTGAGCATCCCCTCTCAGAGCGAACTAAATGACCTGGATTACAGCCTTTTGCAGGCGATTTCTGGCCAGCATATAACGGCAGAGGACTATGGACTTGGGGAAAAACAACCAATCGACCTATCTCAGACCGTGACCGATAGAGATATCGAGCACTACGAAAATATCCGAGATTTATTCTGGTGGTATTGCAAAATGGATGTGTATCAAAGCATGCTTGCAGGTACTAGACTCTTGTAAGCTCCCTTCACGTATTCTTCATTCGATCTTAAAGCTTACTGTTACAGCATGAACTACGAATGTTGGTCTCAGTGTCCTCCCAGGGCACCAATTTCAAAACTTGAAGCTATGTAAGTGAGATTTACCATATAGACCCGATTGTTGCTAATGCGTGGTTCACAGATATGGATCGTATGATCATCTTATGCTTTTACTTGGCAGGCTTGCAGACTTTTCTTCCAAAGATATTTCAAGAAAACGAAAAGCAAGTCTCGCCAGGGGACCTCCTCCTGGAGCTGGTGGCAGTTCACCACCATCATTCCCTGGTATCGTTCCTACGGATGGAAAGTTCCACGTACCAAGAGGTTTTACACCACCCCGCGAGACATCGCCACAGAGTGACTCTACAGATGATCACGATGCAGACGCGAGTTACCAGGCTGCCCTTGAGGAGTGGGAGTCTATCAAGCGGGGCTTCGAAGCATATGAAAGCCGCCTAGGACCGGAGTTTCAACCGCTCAAGCCAGAGTTCTCAGACAAACGAGACTCGCCATTCGGAATGACGATGCAATATCGGACGTTCTCTGTTGCCGGAATCTGGATGAACTTTTACATGGGCATGATAAATCTTGTTCGATGCCACCCTTCGATGCCTCCTGCGGCGATGCAAGCAGCTGGCATGTCAGCACGACAGACAGGTCCATATTCGAACAAACTGGGCAGAATAGCAGCTGGCTTGTCGGAAGACGTTTCACAGGCAACGGAGATCACAACTCTTGTCAGTGCTGCGTTCATCGAGAGTTGCTTCTGCCTTTTTGTAGCAGCGATTGAGGTATGATTTTTGCCAGCCACAGACCTCTGACAAGACAAAGCCACTCACTAACACTGCTTAGTATCAGGATGAGAAACAGCGGCATTGGGTGATACGTCACTTACGGGACATCACTCGATTGACGGGCTGGCAATCAGCAGAACGCATTGCCACTGGATGCGAATCCTCTTGGATCAAGGCGGCGCAGCTTGGTCGTGGTCCTCCGTACCAACGTGCCCCGGAGACCGAACCAGTGCCTGTCGCAAGGTGGCAGAACCCACGACAGATCGATCGATTCATTCACGAAGTCGAGACAGGCGAAGTTCGCCGTATCCAAATACCCAAGGCAGAACGGGCTTCGCTTGCGTTGGGCCTGCTCAGTGTTGAGCGAGATCTCGAGTTTCTCGATCTTAAGGATGACAATTAAAGCTACGTATAGCTGAACTGGCGTGTTATATACTATGGATATCATATTTCTGGAGCTTTTTATAATGCAGCGTATGCTCTGCTTTTTGATTAGTGCCTTGAATATCAAATTCAGGTATCATTTAGCGATCTGGGAAATCGGGGAAAAGGGGTGGAAGCAATATTCACGAAATTCGGTTGACCTGAATGAACGTTGGAAGTCTGGCGGAACCGCAGTTGGCGAGCTTGCCCCTACTGCATTAATGATACATAATTCTGGCCCTCTTTTTTGTGAGGCCCTCGATGTTTTCGCAAAATTCTCTGTGAAAACATCGCCTGATGAGCTAGGATGTGATGGTTCATGTGCTCGTCAATAACCCGAAAGTGGGTTTCTGTTGTGTCTATTCGTGATTTCTCTTGATTCATGAGCAACATCCTTAGTTGGCTGGCAGTCGCTCCACGACTGTGGCCATCTCCTCATCTGTGTATATTCTGAAGCCCTTCTCCTTGGTCACGCTGGCCAACTGCACGTTCTTGGCATCGAGCTTCTCCTCCATGACCTGCTTCAACGTCTTGAGGACAAGGGTCTCTGCGTCTGTGAGCGTCAAAGACTATGAAAATGTCAGTTTTGTTGCCTCTAGATAGCCGTATCTTTGTAAATGTACCTTGTGGTATTCGTTCTGTAGCTCAGCCTGAGCGCCTTCGGAACCAGAGCCAATAGCCTTGGCGTCGTAGCGGTAAAAGGTACCACTGGGCTCAGCGTGGAACAGTTGAGGACCATCCTCATCAAAGCCAGCAATGAGCAGAGCCACACCAAAGGGGCGACTCATGATAGTCTCCTCACCATCAGCACCCTCACCGAAGCGCAGAGCAAGATCGCAGATGGCCTGGGTGCAGCTCTCGACACGAAGGGGCTCGTTGTAGTTGAAGGCGTGGGACTGGCTCTCGACACGGGCGTGCTCGACCATGGAGCGGGCATCGGCCTGGAGACCTGACATGGCGCAGCCGATGTGGCGGTCGATCTCGACAATCTTCTCAACGGAGGAGGTCTCGAGGAGGGTGGAGGTGACTCGCTTCTCGACGCCGAGGATGACACCCTCGGATGTGGCTACGCCGATGGCCGTGGAGCCGAGCTTGATGGCCTCGAGAGAGTATTCGACCTGGAAGAGACGACCTTCGGGGGAGAAGGTGTTGATGCCTCGGTCTGGCGCAGATGTCAGTTGTTGTTCTGAGTATAGAGAACATTCGGGGTCAGGGGGAAAAAGTGAACATGCCGTATTCAGATCTTGCCATAAACATCTTGGCGGTTTGTATGTAGTGGTGGTAGCTAGGCTAGATGAGGGCGGAAGATTTCCTGGTATACGAAGAGACTGAGTTCGTAGATAGAACTGTCCAAGTCGATATGACGAGTTTAATTCGTGGATGGCAAGTCGAATTGCCTGCTGAGTAGTCGAAAGCGGGAAGGCTGAGGACCGGGAGAGAGCAAGTCAATGGATGATGGGAGTGAGGATGTGAGGATGTGAGCTCTGGTGGAGTTGCAGGCAAGCAGTCCGCCTACGTAGCCGCACTGCACTAACGTTTGGAGCTGGAGCCTTCTGTAATTGCTTAGCCACAGTTTCACCGCCACAATTGGATATGACGATGATAGCAGAGGGCTACTGCTACGATCTATATCTTAACAAATCTATACTTGGTTATAGCTGTTGGACTGCTATTACGATTACTAGATAGAAAGATATATACGAGGTATTTTACATACCTAGATTCAAGCATAACAGCCTCCTTATACCTGTGCTATATATATTGTTTAGGTAGCTGTATGTACCCCACGTCGCGTCGGAACTCGTCGCGCAATTCGATTGGGCACAAACACTTACAGCTCTCCCAAATCAACAACCTTCTAGCTGCTAACGTTGGACTTGAGCTGACTACAACTACTACAACCACAACCACACTCTCTACCACAACATTCACAAGAGAAACCTCGCCCAAAGTTTCTCTTTTCAGATGTAGCCCGGCCATACAATGGCTTCCGGCGCACCACGAGCATCGGGCCGAACCAGCGCCAACGATTATCGCGATGAGAGGCCCCGCGTATCGACCAACCTCAAAGGCGAGCGCTCCGATTCTCGCAAGGGCCCTCCTTCGACGACCCAGTCCACTTTCTCAAATGTTCATAAACGATCTGCTTCAGGGAACCCGAGAACATCGAGTCGCAATGAGGAGGAGCGCCGCTTTGAGACGAGGAGGGTGACGGAGCGTACTTTTGAAGCTCACCTCGAGCGTGCAGTCCCGAGAAACACGAGTCCAGAACGATCACATCGACGAAATGCGCCTTCAGAGAGCAGGGCTACATCTAAAGCACCTAGACATGACACTCCTGAAGCCCGGCAGTCGAGAGCCGAGACTCCATTGGGTCTGTCTCTACTCTCCAAACCAGCCTCAAGGCCCTGAAACTGACAGTCTGAAGCACCCTGGAACCCCGAAGTAACCCTCCTACCACATACAACAGCTCCTCTAGCCTCACGGATATCAATACCTCCTCTAGCGTCGACCGTACCTCAAGCTCCTCAACCGAAACCTCTAGGCGAACTAAGCTTGGAGCTCCAAGAAGCCGCTATAGTGGAGGATCTACTCTTTGTATTCATGGGATATGAAGGACAGTACATCAGATTTGCTAAGGGATACAACCCGAACGAGGAGAGAGACAGGTTATCTGGACCAAGCTTCAGAACATTACCTGGCCTTGACCCGAGTCTGCAGGACCTGACACAGTCAATGCTCAAGATGGCAACATATTACTCTGCCCTAGAAGCCTTTGTCGATGTCCAGAGTCGGGAAGAGTTTGGTGCAGTGAACCATGCTCTTTGCGCATCGATACGCAAGTTTCTACACGACTATCTAGTCATGATTGCACAGCTCGAGACGCAGTTCCTCACCAGCGACACTTTTACTGTTCATGTGCTCAACATTCATACCATGTCCACGAGCCAGATGATGTTACAGTTATACTCACTGGCCCATGAACTGCTCAAAAAGAATGCTCTTCTCGATGATGAAACCGATGAATCTGAAGATAGTGCTGACGATTTTGAAAACATCCTCGAGACACTGCGAGACGGAGGCGAATTGGTACCAGGCAACATGACAGGCAAGAAGATCTGCAAAGGAGGCGTGGTTCTCGGTCTAATCACAAAACGTCTCGAATCTCTATCAGGCGACCCTTCAGCTCGAGCGTTGTTAACGACGTTATTGCGGGACGCCAGCAAACCTTACATGGTTATGCTTAACGAATGGCTTCATCATGGTGGAATCCATGATCCTCACGCTGAGTTCCTCATCAAGGAACAAAAGAGCATTAAGCGTGAGAGACTGGAACAAGATTACACTGATGAATACTGGGAGAGAAGATATACAATACGGGATCATGATGTTCCTCCACAACTCGAGGGTGTCAAGGACAAGGTTCTGTTAGCGGGCAAGTATCTCAACGTTGTCCGCGAATGTGGTGGCGTCGATGTGAGCAAAGTATCAAAAGACGTGCCAGCTTCTTTCGACGACAACCGCTTCCTCGAAAACGTCAACAACGCTTATGCCCACGCCAACGAATCTCTCATGCAACTTCTCCTCACAGCTCACTCTCTACCTGCTCGTCTACGCTCTCTCAAGCACTACTTCTTCCTCGATCCCTCAGACTACTTCTCCTATTTCCTCGAGCTGGGCGCCTCAGAGTTGCGCAAACCCGTCAAGTCTGTTAACACCGGCAAGCTGCAATCTTTACTGGATCTTGTCCTGCGTCAGCCCGGCAGTCTTGTCTCTCTTGACCCGTTCAAGGAGGATGTCAAGGTTGAAATGAATGAGATTGTTCTCACAAAGGCTCTGCAGCGTGTTGTCAACATCACGGGTATCGAACAGGGAGAGGCGCTCCAGCCTGTTGCTAATCAGCCCATTGAGAACGATAAGAACGCTGTTGGCTTCACATCCCTACAACTCGACTACTCCGTCCCTTTCCCCGTCTCACTCGTCATCAGTCGAAAGACGGTATGGCGATACCAAGCACTCTTCCGTTATCTCCTTTCACTTCGCTATCTTGAATCGCAACTATCGACTACATGGCAAACACAGACTCGGGGCATCAGCTGGGCACACAAGGGGGCTTTGCGAAAACTCGAGATCTGGAAGCGACGTGTTTGGACACTTCGTGCTCGTATGTTGGTATTTGTACAACAACTTCTCTACTTTTGTACGGCCGAAGTCATTGAGCCAAATTGGAACAAGTTCATGTCACGTCTAAAGACAAAGGACGAACCTGTGGACTCGAGTTTAGGTGTACCAACACGGACTGTCGATGAGTTGATGCAGGATCATGTCGACTTTTTGGATACATGCCTCAAGGAGTGCATGCTCACCAACAGCAAGCTCTTGAGGGTAAGCCTTTTCTCATACACCAGCCACTTCTCGTTCAGTATAGCTAACATCTTTTCCAGATCCATTCCAAACTCATGCAGACATGTACCATCTTCGCTGCCTACACAAACTGGCTCACCCGTGAGCTCGAAAAGTCAGACCCAGATCTATCAGGCAACAACAAGCCCTCTACCATGACAGCAGATCAATGGAAGCGCTTCCAGATGACAAAGACTGTACAACGCGGCTCAACATCAGCTCATCATGACACCTCTGCCGCCTCGGCTGGTAACTCTGAGGTAGATGCTCGCATCGACAATCTCTTTGAGATCATTCGTAAATGGGAGGGCAATTTCAGTCGACATCTGCAGATCTTGCTCGATGCACTGAACCATTATGCTGCTACTGAGACAGTAGTCTTGTTGAGCCTGTGTGCGCGCTTGAGCACTGCGAATCAGGGGACAGAGTATGCTGGACTACGGCAGGAGGACGAGTCAACTTAAACTATAGGACTTGTTAGACAAAAGATGATGGCAAAGGGGCGTTATAGGGATCAGTAGATTAGGATCATTGTCAAAAATAAGATACCACCAAACAACTTTTCAACCCTCAACCCTGACATGCACCTGATAATTCCCAAGGTCAGAGATGTACTGAAAAGCTTCATTTGATTGTCTATATCGTGAGGCCTCATATTCCCATTGATCTCCCACTGAAAAGCCTATTTCCCCCAGGTACGCCATGCAGCAAATCCCAGGGTTGTATTTTATAGTACCGCATGCCACTCAACGCTTGCCACCCCATCCTGTTCCCAGCCCATGATCCCATCCCAATAATGCAAAACAAAAATAAAAACCATCTCGTGAGAGCCAGGTGTATAGCCTTGCCCGAGAACGAAGAACGAAAAAAGTTAACCCATCCCATGATGTCTGAGCGATCACACTCAGGTTGATGCTGCTCGAGCCCGAAACGACTCACTTCCAGTGAGTTGAGAAAAGGCCTCGTGAGAAAATAACTAAGTAGATAAGGAAGGAAACAAAAACCAAAAACTCCTGTCTCATGCGGTCATTAATGCTCCAGTACCCAACGGGACTGAGGCTTGTTCGTCACTCATTTGAAAAGACTACGCAGATCCATCAACTTTTGCCGAGCTGCCTCCGCCTTGTCTAAGCTCCTGTTTTGGCCGTCCATGCTCAAGCTGGCAAGCTTCATCTTCTTCTCCTGAAGCTCCAGCATCTTCTCTTCGAAACTGTCTCGCATGATGTATCGAACGGTGCGGACAGGACGCTTCTGTCCCAGCCGATGAACACGGTCGATAGCCTGAGCCTCGGCGGCTGGGTTGTATTGCGGTTCCATCACGTATACGCTGTTTCCAGAAGTCAAGTTCAGTCCCAGACCGCCCGCCATGATTGATACCAAAATCACATGGACAGTGTTGTCCTCGCGGAACCTATCCATGGCGGTAGTTCGTTGTGTGCGGCTCATACTACCGTCGAGCCTGGTGAACACGATGTCGTTGGCGTTGAGTGCAAGCTCAATGAGGTCCAGATGAGAAGTCCAGCCTGAGAAAACTACCGATTTGTACGGAGGTTCAGACGGATTCGCCTCACTCGCTGCCTTGGACTTTAAAAGATCTTCGATCAGAGCGCGAGTCTTTGTATGCGGGCCGTCGTACTTGTCGAAATTCTTGACAGCATTTCGTGACTTGGGCTTGGCTGGACCATCATGCTCCGCGTCCACCTCCCTTCGGTGAAGCTGTACGAAAGCATGTCTCACGTAGGCATTGCAGACTGGACAATACCCACTGTTCTCGCCCTCTGGCATCAGAGCCTTGGCCCGTTCCTTAAACGTTTTGATGCAGTTTCGGCAAATGACATGGAAGCAAGGCGTCA